CCTAGAAAGATTGTCTAGTCATGTCATATGGTATGATGTCAAAAGGACAAAAAATTCAGTTTTTTTTCTCACGAAAATGTGAAACAAGGTGGGAGACTCTCAGACTTATTTAGACAAAAGACATAAATGCCCTTGACAGACAAATGAGGTCTAAAAAAGGGTGTAAATGGATGCTTACAGCTCCAATGCATTGTTCCACACTAAGGGGGTGGCCAAACCACACACAGGATAGCAGAATGCTCACTAACTACAAAATTTTATTTAAAAAAAAAAAAAAAAAAGTTAATGGAGAGTATAAATATGAAGGAAGATAAATAAATAAATAATTATATATATATATATATATATATATATATATATATATATATATATATATTTTGTTTACTTGTCTAGTGGTCATTATAGTGGCAAATGTAAGAGCTCCAAATGTGCGAATTGTGTAAGAGATAAAGAATTGACTTGCTGTTGCAACCTGCAATAATAATTAAAGAAAAAACATATTATGAGATTAAAAAATGGTATTCCAAAAAAAATCCACATTTTGACACGTGAGAGGTTCAATTTTAGTGTTTTTTACAAAATTGCCCTTGGTAAAAATGGCTTACAGTTGAAAGCAATGCAACATCAAAGAAACAATCCTTGTGGCGAGAAACAAAATCCATTGCCATGAGAAGATTTCCCTGCAAGATTAAACCTACCAAAATAGAAAATTAATAATAATAATAATAAAAATAATAATCCAATAATCTCCTGTATAAAAATTTTTTAAAAAATGTTTTATAAATTGCTTACCAGTTAAGCTGAGTATGCAAGAACAGAGTGTGGTGTAGAAAATTTGATTATAAATTCCCATATCATATCCTTTAAATAATTTATCTTGAAATGTGCTAGTAAACCCATCAAACCTGAGAAATTAAAATAAATAAATAAAAATATCAATGTTTCCGAAAAACAGATATGTTTTAAATTATAATGATGATTTTTCTGATCATTTAAGGTTAATTAAGTTCAGGTAACAATAAGGTAGAAAGTAGCTACATATAAATTTATTATCAACATAAATGTAAGATTACCCAACTACCCCCACCTTCTAACCAACTGATTATCTATCTATTTATTGGATTAATTAGGAAAATGATTGATGAAACAAATGTAAAATTACCAAACTACCCCTACCCGAGATAACCAATCATCAGGGACACTCCCCACACTGTGCTTTCCCTTCCTTTGTGGTAAGGAGTTAACTCACTTGCTCCCTACAAAAAGGGTAGAAATAGAATAAATTCATTAGCATTTGTTCTCCTAATTTTTTTCAAAATGACAAGGAGGGGTAGAAAGGTAATTACTGGGAATAGAATAAATAGTGAGCACCCAAGGGTAACCAGTACAGCCAAAAAATAATCTGGCCCTTTGTACTTCTTTTGCATAATTAATGTGCCCCAAATCTACAAACAAAACAAGAATGTTAAAATGTAATTTATTTTTTTATTTTCTTTTGGAGGGTAGTATTGTACTTTTGAAACTTACCATTACTGGTATCATTTTGGCACACTTAGCCAGGGTCTGAACAGGAAAGCTAACATATTTAAGAGCCTGAAGATATAAGATAAAACAAGAATGTTAAAATGTAAGCATAAATATATAGAAAGATTTGTTATTGATAATAAGAATCAAGGATTAAAAGAACATATGACCTCATATTGACATGTTGTAGTTAGTATGTTAGATATTGATACAATACAGTACTTGTAAACTGGAGCAACAGGATCCAAAGCTTTTTTACTTGTCTGTGATGGAAATAAAAGATAGATATTAGATAAGATAAAAAGAATGTAAATGTAGTGAAAGAAATTTTATGAAATGCTGCATTTGTTGAAGAATGTTCATAACTTACAAGTAAGAAAACTGCAGATACTGCAGAAGTGGTAATTCGGTTACAGAAAACAAGGAATAATGAATGTTTGAAGAATTCATGGTTTGGACCATATGGAACTCTCATAATCTTCTCCTGCAGATGAAGATTCAAGAACAGGTGTTAATAATGAATCACTACACAAAGTGTTGGATCATGATCATCTCTTTTTTCAATTCTGTTTCCCCTTTTTTTTCAAATCAAGATCATTCAATCTACCAAATGAAACATCTTGACAGAAGAAAAACATCATCAACAATTGGTAATGGGAGATGCAAGCATGAATGCTGGTATATGTAAGATTCATGAATGAGGAATCTTACACTGTGAACATTATAGTAGTCGTATATTCAAATCAGTGAGTTTAAAGCAAAGGATTCGACTTTTTGTATGTTCAAAAATGCCAATGGTAACAATCAGTCTTGCAGCTATAATGCTATATAACATCCAAAACCTCGTTTCCCCTAATTTCTAGAGTTTTTTCTCTTCAGATTGAACAAAATCAATCGTATATGTAGTTGCAATTAGCTTAAATTTAAGCTTCGTGTACTCGATTTAACTTTACAACAAATTGTCCACATAACTCAGCTCGTCTTCACATGTATACAAACGATTACAGAAATGTAACTTTTGGTTAAACAGAACGTACCTGTAAGACACCATAGATGACGAGAGTAGACATAATTCCGACAACAGCGAAAGTACCCTTTAAGAATTTGTTCTCTTTGGCATCCACTAACGGTGGGTCAGTCATACTACCATCCATTAGCAAAACCCCGACCACCGCCGGTTTCGAAGGCAGTGTATGTGTATATCTACGACCAATTGAAATCCAGAAAAACAAAGATGTTAGATAAACCCTAGGATCAGTCAGAAACCCAGAACCATCGAGTGAAGGGCAAGCTTTTGAATTTATTATATGTGTAGTAAGATGACGGGATCATCGATGAGAAAGATTAGCGGTTTCTCCGGCGAGTTCCTCTCCTTGTTTTCACCGGCGAGTTTCTATATTTATTTCTCAAAACCCTTTTAAATTTTAGTTTTGTGGGAAAGCGGACTACTTTTTGTCTGGAAGATGATGGGAAGCACGCCTTTCCGTCTCTCTTACGCTTATTTTATAGGGTCGACTACATGACTATATGACTATAATCAATGTTTTTGTATTTATTCAATTTTTTTTTTTTTTTTTTTTTGGATTAAACAAATATTTGAAAAGTGAAAAGGAAAATTTGGGTTTTATGTCTAATATCTTCAACAACTAAAATATGTTCATTATGAATTGATATGTGTTTGGTTGGGGATCTTGGTGGGATTCGTACGTGTTGTGTTTGGATTTGTTAGCTTATGTTTTCGAATTTACATCTTTTGCACGGTTGTTTATAGTTTGAGTTTGGTGTGCGTCTTTTCCTTTCAAAGATATGCCTTCATTGATAATTTGCCTTTTGTCTTGTCGGGTGAAAGCGTTTTGGTATATTCAATATCTAGTTGCGTATGTTATCTGAGTACTTGGGATTTAGGTGTGGCGATAAACAGGACCGACCCTGAGGATTCAAATGTCCATGACGAGTCGGAAAAAAGGTCTTTAGGCCCTAACGTGTAACGAATTAGATTATATAAACTAAAATCTTTTTTAAAACGACAATAAAGTTTATAGCAATAACATAGCAAAATCATAGTGTTTTAATTAGTAATGACATATTGTAACATTACTCGTGAAGCTTTCCAAACATTCTTGTTAGCAAATCGGTTGATCAACTATTCGTAGTGCATACTCTCTAAGATTCTGTTATCGATAGATATCATTCCCAAACCACTAAGTCTTTATTGGATCAGTGTGGAGCATAAGTAATGTTTCAAAAACTTCAATTTCGAAAAACTCGTTTATGCATATGACACTATTACTACTAAATAGTTGATAATATTTTATATTCAATGCTTGATCGTGTATCTTTAACATGTGATCCGTCTTTCTAGTGCGTGGTGGACTGATCGATTAGTAGGGATATGGACTATCGCTTTGAGTTGAAAATTATATATATATATATATATATATATATATATATATATATATATATATATATATATATCCCCCTAAAAGAATTAGGCCATGTATATATGCCCACTTTGCCCCCATTCAAAATCAACCCTGACGGTAAGTTAGTTTATTTGAAAAGTTGTATGTGTCACGTATAAGCTAGCATATATTTTTAGCTTATTGGTTTATCACGATATATAGTTTGGTGAGATTATTAAAGTAGCTTATAAGATGGTTTTTAATATATATATATAGGGTTAGGTTATTTTGTTTTTACTAACTATTGTGTGCCAGAATGCACAGATCTGGACCATCGGATGGAATATAAGCAAATGTCATGATTTAAGGGTCTATAGTAGTAGAATAGGATAGCATGTACCATATAATCACACAAATTTCAGCATAAGGGCATTTTAGTCAATTAACCTATATTAAAAAAGGAAATTTTCGGATTTTTAGGGATGATTAATTCCTTTATTTTTTTAAAATCTGAATATTTTAAATTAATTCAAATTTAAAAATCTGATTTTATTCTGTCAGAATGATAGAATGTCAACCATAAACTAGTAAATGTATTTTTCGATTTTATTCTGTCAGAATGGCAGAATGTCAAACATAAACTAGTAAATACATTCTAAAAGAATACACAAAACCGATTCTTGAACTAATAATATATCAAAAAATTACATTGTATTATTGTGATTCATTGAATAATAACAAACATTCTGAAAGAATAAACAAGTATAATTTTTAAAAAATAACAACATTCTTAAAAAATGAGTGTGATCATTCTTTAATTCATTCTTCAACCCTTTCCCATCAGGTCTTCAAACCATTCTTGAAGCCTTTTCTATTAGAAATTCATTGCCAAGTAATTTGTAGTGATACACTTGTAAACCCTGCACATTAAACATACAAATAATTAACTACAATTCTATCAGAATACAACAAATAATATTCTTACAAAATAAACTATTCTGCAAGAATATTCTTTAAGAATTTTTGTATTATCAAGAATATACCCAACAAACAAAATAAGGAACTACCATCAACCTATTCTGACAAAATAAGGAAGTAACATTCTTCGGGTTCCATGTGGTTCTTCTCGATATGCTCAATGTATTTAACTGCAAATTCTGACAGAATAAGGAACTAGCATCAACCTATTGTTATGAAAATGGCATCCAACCCAATCTAAATTGAGTTATATAGTTCTGAAAAGAATAAGGAACAAAGTGAAGTAAAAACATTAATGATTTTTAACTATTTTTTCATTGAGGCATTTTATCGAACACATGGAGGCCATGACAGAATGTTGTTTCAAGAAATTACCTGTGATCAGATTAAGCATATCATGCAGGCTAGTACCAAGTTCCTTTGGCATGGCTTCTAACAAGGGTATCAATGGACGAAACTGTGACCCATTGAAACATATAGCTGCAAAGGAGACAGACACTGTTAACCGAATATGTTAACGGTGGAAAAAAGAAAATTTTGATCAATTGAAACACACACACACACACCTGAGATAAAGTTCTCATTTCATATTTCACTCTCAAAATCTGTCTTGATCAATTCTTCAATGCCTTCAATGAAACCCGACTGCGTTTCTTCCTATAATCCCTTAAATTACCTGAAGCACATGCATATGTGATGAAGTTTAAGGTGCTGTTTTTAGTATCCTTCCGGAAACTGTAAAGAACAATGATGTTTTCATTCTCTAATGTCTGTAACAGTTTGATTTCTGAAAAGAGTCTCTTGAGAACAGATGGATCTCCACCGAAGCTTCTTAGTTTTACTTGGTTCCATGCCACATCCATTCCTTCTTCTTGATCAAATCCCTTGTACACCTTATTCACTGCACCAGCACCTAACAGATCATTGTATCTCCCAAATTCAATCGAAAGTTAATGAGTACAAAATTCAATCGAAACATCGAAATTGTAAGACCTAATTGAGATAACGAAGAGTGTAAATTAGGAAAAGTGAACCTAAAATGTGAACCTGACCGACAACCTCCTCCGCCTGCAACTGTCGGCGCGTCTCGGGTTCTGCGAGTGAAATCACGGCGGCGATTGCTGCGACCGAGTCGCCTCCGATGACTGCTAGTGTTGTTCCCTCAAATGTGTCAGCTCCTAGTGCGGATACAGTTAGGGTTCTTCGATTGTTTAGTTTGTAGGATTTAAGATTAGGATTGGAGAATTATGTGGTGGTGAAAGAGACATTGTGGAAGTCCGATGAGAGCGTAGGATCCTAGCTTCTTGCGGTATAGGGTTTTAATAGGTAAATAAAAATTGATCCCTTAAATAAAGGGATATCAGTTGTTAATTTTGGATATTCATTGATACATATATGTAATATTACTAATTTACCCTTATTTAATTAATTAATTAATTAATTATTTGCTAATTTCTGATTGGTGCATTTAGGCACACAATATTTGCTAAAAACATTTGAACCTATTATATATATATATATATATATATATATATGTGTGTGTGTGTGTGTGTGTGTGTGTGAGATAACTTAGTCATAAGCTCATGGAACTTATTACACAACTTTTCCAAATATAACATTATATATTTATTTACACAAGTTTTTAAATATATATATATATATATATATATATATATATATATATATATATATATATATATATTAGATAACTTAGTCATAAGCTCATGGAACTTATTACACAACTTTTCCACATATATTATTTTATATTTATTTACACAAGTTTTTAAATATACTCATATTTGTTAATTTATACTTTCCATTTAGTTCATCACCTAATTTTTACCAAATGTTATTATTTATCAAATGTCAACTAGCTTATCATGTGAAAGCTAGTTTTTCGAGTAGGTTGCAAAACACATCACAAATGTGATTCATCGATTGTAAAAAGTTGCCTCGTAGTACTTTTTGGTATTGTTTTTAATCGTACAGGTTGATAGGTTGGTGTATTAGGCCATGTTCCCATGTTGGGGAACTTTTTGTTAGTTCATTGCCTAATTTAATGGAGTCACACGACTATCGAGTAGCCTGTAACCTGTTGCACCTTTAATTTTCGTTGTTACTTTTGCTTTGGTTATATGTTCAAAACTTTAGCCCAATGTTCATATTGTATCCTTTGTTAAGGTTGAAGATATGCTTTCTCCCATTGCTTTATTTTATCACTATCGTTTTAATTTGATGTTACTTGTACCTTAAATTATTGTTACTCTTCCCTTTGAAGTTGGATCCATTCTAAGGCCCCAAAGTTTTTTTGTTTTATTGGTTGAGGTTCATTGATAAATTGATTTGTCTTTTGAAAGCTTCAAAGTGGAGCTACATAACTATGATGTTTCTTTTTGTTACTAGTGCAAGTTCATAACCACCTACTACACCGCCTCATACTTTCGATAAACCACCCCTCCCCCGCCTTTCATAATTGATAACCACCCTAACCCTTACCTCCCATGATGGGTAACCACCCCCTCCACACCTCCCACAATGAGTAATTGCCCTCTCCTTCCACCTTTCATTTCCAGTAATCACTAAACCATAAAACCTATATGACATTATAATCCTAAGGGTGTACATGAGTATTTTCAAATGGGGTTCTCATTGTTTTTAGTGTTTGTAAGACTAATAAAAGCCTTACTTTATGGCTAAAGAAGATATCAAGAAATTCAACAACATTCCTTTTTTCTTCATCACTTTCTTCTATTCCTTATTTTCTTTTTACCTCAAACCATATCATAAATTTCCTTCGTCCTCATATCATTTTGAAACTTTCTTTATTTTCTTGATCCTTGTAGCATTCCCTTTTTACATACATGTTTATCGCATTAAGAGCTCAAGTAAGTTTGATATATCTTTGATTTTTTTTCTTTATGTTCCTGATCCTTATAGCAATTTCGATTTGTTGTAAGAAGCTAATAGGTAACCCAAAAATTTGTGTTCATTTCCATCCTACTAGGCATGTAAACCAATCTGAAACCGAGTCTGGAATCAGAGCGAAACTAAATAAGACGTAAAGTAAGAAAAAAAAACTGACCAAATATCAGTAATCGGTTGGTTTTAATCTACTAATAAATATGTTATCTAAGAAGGTGTTTAGAACTAGAACCGATCCGAACCAGAAAACCGAAT